CCGCCCCGCCCCCCTCTCCTCTCCCGGGCGGAGCCGGCCCCGCACTAGGGAGCCGCACCGGGTGCCGGCCCGGGCGCAGGTGCGGGCGCGCACGGGCCCAGCTGGGTGGTTGTGGTGTGAGCCGGGCCCAGCCGAGCCCCTTGTGCCAGCGGTGACAGAGCCGGCGGGCAGCAGGCGCGGATGGCTACTCGTGCCCCGCCTTGTCCTTCCTCCACGCGACACGCTGGTGCCCAGGCTTGGTGCAGGTAGTGCTGTCAAGTGACGGTGTCCGGGTGTCTGCACCAAGCGCGCGGAGAGGGGGAGTAGGGGCCCTGGGTCACGCAGGATGGGGGCAGCCCCCTTCCACTCGCCCGTGGGGACCTGACTGCCCTGGAGATGCTCTGACCAGCTCCTCCGCGCTGCCCCTGCCTAGGGCCAGTGTCTGCAGGGGTTGCCTTCTGCGCCACGGCTCAAGCCTGTTGTCCCGTCCTGCTCAGTCAGTGCAGGTCTGCATTTGCTAACCCCAGCGCTCACTCCAATGCCCTGCCCCGGACACGGCTTCCCCATTGCGGGTCGTTCCTATGGAGAGCCCTGAGGTCGTCTTGTATCTCCCCCTGTCCAGCCGGGATGTTGCACAGAGCTGCCGTGTCTTGCCAAGAGACCCTTAGCTGGTTTGTCTTGCCTCCTATGAGCACGCCTCATTCACTGAAGTCGCTAAGACTCCTCTTCGTTTGCTCTATCTGGTTCTTCGTGGATCCCCTCCAGCTCCTCTTTAGATCTTCTCCACCCAGCTTTCTTCCTGTCTGGATCCCAAATGCACCCCAACACTTTCTTTCCAAAGGTAGGAAGTTTTCTTCCTGCGCATCTACGTCAAAGAGTTGGCCTCACAGCAGGGTTTCTGTAGCTGACTTCGGTCTTGCTTAGGAGCTGTTTGGAGCAAAAAGTTCTCTGCAAAGAAAACTATCGGGCACTTGTGCTTTAATTTGGTACTTCCTCAAACCTTTATCTGTAATTATTGCTTCTAGCACCCAATTAATTGATCTAATGTGCACTAATTGCTAGATAAGCAGTCTAAGACCTTCTCACCAGCTCACAACCATGGTTTGGTTTTAATAGATCCTTGGTTCCTTTTTTTTTTCTTGCAGCTTTCCTCAAGGTTCGAGCCATCCTCTGTACCGTGACTTCTGCCTTCCAGTAGCTATAACATAAGCATGTACAAAAAACGGTATAAGCCATTTGAACATACCTTTCCCTGAGAATTTTGCAATGATCAGACCACTTCTCCTATGCTGTCATTAAAGAGCGCTCAAGATAACGTATCTCCCCGCCATTGGTGTCAGACCTGGCACAGACTTCACTGCCCACTTGTTGCTCTGATTTTGGAATTACAAATACCCAGTAGTACCAACCAAGTAAAGTTATCAGGGATGCCAACAATCATATTCTGCAGTCCAGACACCATCTCATGATATGTTATCAGTTGCTTTTTTTTAAGATTACAGTCGAATGGTTTTCTCCCAGTTCCTGACTAAGGTGGACGGCGGGCCTTCTCCTGCTGCCTGCTCCGTGCAAGGGGTAGATCTAATATGAAAGCCGGTTTTCTAGGCTGTAGTGAGGAGCATGAACAGTGATGCTCTGTTATTCTGGCACAGCAGATTGCCTCACATATCTCAGTGAAACGTGGTTCTTCCACAGCTGGCTCATCTGGATGGAAACCAGCGGCTTGCTGCTCACTTCTATCCACCTCGTCATAAGGGATTCATTTAATGCTCCTTGCAATTATGGAAAGCAAATCCTTCTATAACTAATTGATTTTTTTGACCAGCCTGCTATCGCTGGAGCAGCTGTGGCTCCTCGCATCGAGGTTTTGGGCAGAGCGGAAGCAGGCTTAGCCAGGGCCAGCTCCATGGGCCCGTGTTCGGGTAGCGGCACACTGAGGTCCTTTGGGGGGCACGGGAGAGGGGGAGATGTTGCAGCACCACAGAACTGGCTTTTTTGGGGCAGCGTGGAGCTGAAGGGGCAGGAGGGCATGGAGCCACAGTCAGGCAGTGGCACAGAGGGGAGCCAGGGGCCTACACTCAGCAGTGTCTGGAGAGAGAAGAAACCTAAAGATAAGGTAAAGGGGGAGAAAGACAGCTACGTGGCTGGGGTGGGGTCTGGCGTTGGCTGCATGTTTAAAGTCTCCAGGTCAAATTCCTACTAAAATTCAACAGGGAAATAATCCTACTTAAAATCATAGACAATAAGGGTTGAAGGGACCTCAGGAGGTCACATCTAGTCCAACCCCTGCTCCAAGCAGGACCAGCCCCAACTACATCATCTCAGCCACGGCTTTGTCTAGCCAGGGCTTAAACACCTCCAAGGATGGCGACTCCACCACCTCTCTGGGTAACCTGTTCCAGTGCTTTACCTCTTATTGAGAAAGTTTTTCCTAATATCCAACCTAAACTTCCCTTGCTGCAACTTGAGCCCATTGCTCCTTGTGCTGTCACCTGCCACCGCTGAGAACACCACTTGTTCTGGTGGAGAAGGGACCCCCTGCACCATCAGCACTAATATCCTGCAACAAAAACAAGCAAAGCATCACGATGAGCGTTTGCCAGCTCGGGCTGTCCTACTCCCACCCCTGCCCTGCCACACAAACCAGCCAGGAGCAGCGTAGGTTTTCCAGTTTATTCCTTTTTTGAGCCTGTATATCTTAAAAAGCATTTTTACAAATAGAATCTTCTTACAATAGCGATAAATAGAACTTTATTTTATACATCAGTCACTGGATACACAAACACCATCTCGGATTTAAAAAAAGAAAGGGGGGCATGGAAACCCGAGTGTCCAAACATTAAGTTAGGATTTGACTCAAAAAAAAAAAATGAGTACAACACAGACGTAGAGGAATCCCAGACGCTCGCGGGATGTATTACACATACAGTAGGCAGTTGAAAAGTTACTTACACATCATGGAGCCGTACCTTCCTGCCGGCAGAGGGGAGCCATTGAGAATGGGTGGGTTTTTTTGTTTTTTTTTACAACTATGCAACACAAAGCCCCGAATTTAATTGTACCCGTGGCTATATATTCACGTAATCCTGCATTAGCTGCTAGCAGGCTCCCAGGGTGCTCTCAGCAGCAGACCACCCTCTAAATCCATGATGTACCGGAGAACGAGGCCCTGCTCTGTAGTGCATTGGGAGGGCTATGGCCTTATCCATGGGGGCACCCAGTGTAGTGCCAAGGAGCCCCTGGGCAGTGGCTTTAAAACAAATGCTAATGCAACAGCCACCAAATGGCTTTACCAGCAGCATTTTCTTGGTGGGAAATGCCCTTTGGGATTAAGATCTTCCCCCAGCAACCTCCTGGGAGGCCCTGTAATGCCCCTTGCCAGGCTGGGGGAAGCCAGCTCTCCGGGTCTGGATGACAGATAGAAATGGGTTTGTTTTCTGGTGACAAACTCAGCCTGTTGGTTGCAAAACCCAGTTCTGGAAAAGCTGGAAACTTCGGGGTTGGTTTGATCCTTCATTAAAACAGAAGTTGTGCAAGAAAACTTTGCAGGGGGGAGAGGGGAAGGAAAGCAGCAACGGCCCTGACCGAAAACCCTGCATCAAATAACTCTGCTCGGTGTCTCGCCAGTGCCAGGGCTGGGTGGACTGACAGCTTTGCTACACGCTGCGTGTCTGGTTTGGTGCAGGGCAGCTGGACGGAGGTTGCGTGTCCGCTGGGCTTGCAGGGGTTAAGTCCTATGGCTCTGGCAGGTCTCGTCAGGATTGTCTTGTCAATGCACAGCGGCTCTTTGGGATAAACATGCGTCTGCCCCCCCCACCCCCCGGCCGGGGGTGTTTGTGCCACGCCTGCCCAGAGCTGGGGGCGCGTGAACACGCTGCAGTGGCCCTTTCCCAACCGGAGCTCACGGGGATCCTCCGCACTAGGCGCTGCCCCCACTCCTGTCCCTGGCTACCTCGCCCCACCCGTTTTACCCCTTTGGTCCTATATCCGGGGGATGTGCCTACGTCTGTAGCTGGAGATGCCTTCCCTAAAGGGTGGCATGAGCCCCGTGGCCCTGGTGCCCTCCACTCCCTGGCTTCTGGGGACCCCTGGGTTGGGGTCACTCCCTTGGGCAGCGGGCGCTGGATTACAGCAGCCTGGGTCTCTCTGGGGTGCAGGGACCCTTGTGACAGGGGCAAAAGCCCCCCCACTTGCTGCGGGGCTCGTGACTTTGGGGCCTCATTTGACAAGGAGATGAGACTGGGTGGTGTGGGCTCTGCTGGGGGAAACTGGTGAATGGGGCTGGGGCTGCTGAGGGGTCTTGGTTGCCGCAGCCCAACCCCCAGAGCATCAGCTGCCGCTATAGCCTCCGTAAGCGGCCTTCCAGGGATCGGGGCCAGCCTTGCCCTGCCTGCGCAGCCACGGGGAGGAGATGGGGGCTCAGGCCAAGCGGGGAGGGAGCATCTACATGACACCCCCTTTTTCCGAGACTTGCAAACTGGGGGTGTTTCAAGGCTACAAAAGGTCATGGGAAGTCCTGGATGCTGCCCGTGTCCCTGCCTATGGGACTGGGTAGGTCTGCTTCACCCAAGCTGCCGCACCGCGCCTTTCCCCCTGGCCGACCCCTTTGCCCCTGGAGGCTGTGAGCTCTCTGGGCAGGACACGGGCATGGCAAGGGGCTGGGGTGAAATGCCCTAGCAAGGACCTCAAGAGGAGACCAGCCAGGCCTGCCGTCAGCTAACCTGAGGCTGGGATGGGAGCAGAGCTCACCCAGAGGAGGTGGCGCCTAGAGGAGGCTGGATCTAGCTGCCCGGGGGGATTGTCCTGCCATGGATGAGCCCCAGCTCTACCGTCCCACGTCACCTGGTGGTTGCGGGCACCTGGGTGCCCGTGGCTTCC